GCTTCTTTCCATTCCAGACAAAACTGGAGATAGCCTTTTCCATCTCGTTGAAGAATGGGATTGGTATTTGTATTGGGATTGCATTAAATGTGTAAATTGCCTTTAGTAGTATTGCCATTTTCACAACATTGAGTCTTCCTAACAATTTGGCAATTTATGACATATTCATCATTACTCTCCAACAGCAACATTTAAATGTGTGGATTCCTCTTTCGTCTACCTTATTCATTGTTTGGATTTCCCATGCATATAAGGTGTGGTTCACTAATGAAGAATTCATGCATTTAAATTATGATATTAAGAGAAGAATATTGACCAGACCCTCAATATGCTGTATCACAGTGTGAAGATATCTCAGAATTATGTAGGTTTTTGTTCTGTTGTACAAGATTTTCTATGTGTTAGAGTAAACTTGATGGTGCCCAACAGCTTCCAGAAGAATGGAATAAGTGCAACCAGAATGCCGCTTAGGTGGCAAGAATTTATCTCAATTTCTTTAGGTCTGATATCAGGAGAGACAAATTGCTGGAGAAGGACATAAAGTAGAGTTGTTGAGAAAGAGGAAGAAATTCAGTAAAGCAGCAAAAATGAGCTCAAACACAGCAAGGATTGTGAGGGTGACTCAGAACCAGACAATGTTTCCTTCTGCTTGTGAGGGTGACTCAGAACCAGACAATGTTTCCTTCTGCTTCATATGAGCCACTAGAGTGATCTGACTCAATGGTGCCTTATAACAAAGAGTGACCTTATAGTGTCAAGAATTGTACCAAATTGTAATAATATGGTTTGCCCAGGTCAAAAGCAGTTGGAATATTTGACCCCATTCAGAACATCTATTAAAGCAACCACATGGAGAAACTACAGGGAACTGACCTGTCCTGTTGAATCATAGTAGAGGTCAAATTTTGATTAGCTCTGATCTGTGTTCAGATTCAGGGCGTGCTAGTCAGCAATGTCTGGGATTTCCTTCCTAAGATCCAGAATTAACTGTTTCTCATTTCCTTTTTTTTCAGCTTTTTGACAGTTTTATTGAAATTATATGACTTGTCATAAATGTACACATTTATAATGTACAACATGATTCATTTTTACACACACACGCTTTTGGAACCAATAGCCATAATTAAGATAGTGAATAAATCTGTTAACCCTAGCATTTTCTTCTTGCTGCTTTTGTAATCCAGCCCAGTGTCCAACAACCACTAATCTGATTTCTGTAACTTTAGATTAATTTTCGATTTTGAGAGATTTTTATTTGAAAATATGTCCATTCATAACATAACATGACCATGATAAAAAACATAATGAATTGGGAAACATTAATCAGAGAGATTAATTGGGAGATTAATCAGAACTGACTTTGACAAGCACTGTGGCAACTGGACAATTAAAACAGACATTCGGATGGCAGGGAAGAAGAACAGACTGGGGAGGAGGGTAGAGAGAATGGTGCAGCAATGAAGGAATGAAAACCCAAAATCCCTGTAAATGTTCATTAAAACGAATAAAATTTAATAATAAATAAAAAAATAAAAATAAAAAAAAAGGACCTCTGGTAGCAAGGTGTATACTGTTTTGGGCTGCTACATGAAAGAAAGATCAGCAGTTCAAATCAGCTAGCCACTGTGGGAGAAAGATGGGCAGTCTCCTCCAAAGAGGCATACCCTTGGAAGCTTGATGCAGGATCACCAAGATTTCAGGACTGGCTTGATATCAAGCAGTATATCATACCTAGACACAAAATGTTCTTTTAAAATAAGTTGAAAATTTAATAATTATTTTTTTAAGTCTCAAAGTTACTTGTTGAACGCAGATTTAATGTCTTTAAATTTCGTTTTGATTTGACGCTTTGCCCCTCTAGAGCATATAGGATTGGACAAAGCAGAGATGTCAAAGTGTTTAGGCTGATATCTGTGGGGACAGTAGAAGAGATCATGTATTTACGACAAGTGTATAAGCAGGTAAGTTTCCTTTTCTTATTCCAATTAGAAGGAAATCTTATGACATAGTTCATGGGAGTTGTGCTACTATTGAATTCAAAGACAGTTCAAATGTACCAACAACTTGTCTAGAGAATGATGGGAAATCTAATTTACAGCCTCCAAAAGCACATTGGGAGGTCAATGAGTGAGATGAAGATTCTGAATAAATGGTAAGTTTTTGAAAACTAATGTAGAAACTAAAATTTCAACTTCTACTCTATTTTTTCATTGAAAAAAGTTATGGAATAAATGCTAGAGTAAATTTCTCATAAAAAGAGGCAAATTCATTGAATTTTTAAGTTACAGTTCCTTCGTGCACTACTACTTAAATGTATCTGTGATAGGGAGCTTGCTAAAAAGCAGATCCTGATTTAGTAGGTTTTCAGTAGAGTATGAGTGCTCCTAGTGCACAGGCCAGAATGTGGGTACCAAGGTGATAGCTCCAAACTGTGTGCCAAGACACAATGGGATGCCTCAAACATTTGCTAAGATATTGATCCATCCGCGCTCTGGACAGTAAGACTACCTTGATCAGCTTCCAGCCTTGAATCCCCTATTCTGTTCCCTCCAGGATGTTCATGTGTTACCAGTTTTTACATGAGCAACAACAGGAAAAAGATTGGGTAGCCTGCCTTTCCAATATTCAATGTAACTTTTTTTACATATAGTAATACCTTCATATGTTTTCTATTTTTCAAAAATATTACTTAATGCAGAAAGTACATTCCTTCAGATTTGGTGCATTACATGTAGTCTAAAGTTTGATGTTTAAATACTCATTGTATAGATACCTATACATACATTGTTCAAGAAAGGGTCATCAAACAACTGAAACCACTAGCTCCTACAATTCTGAAATCAAGAGTATACTCAGTTTCTGAGACTTTGATACTGAATTATTAAATTGGTAAGGTGATTCAAAATTTGTTAAAGCTAAGGGGTTTTGTCATAGGAGGTACAGGTTGAAGATGAGAAATGGCAGAGTATAAGTGATGCTGTGAAACATAGGTACAGATTCTAGAAATGATATCTTTCTAGTTTTGCAACTCTGAACAATACACTTAATTTCCTTAAGTTTTGTTTGTTCTTTTTCCCTAATATGCAGAAAATATTATAGTATTGATGAACTTAATATTCATTAAGTGCCAGCTATTACTTTAGAATTTTGTGTGAATTGGTCCACTTGTTACAAAATTACCTTCAAGTCACTCAAGAGATATATTCTGTTTTCATCCAAGTTGTATAGTATTTCAAAAATTCTTGGCTTTTTAAAAATAATACATAGTACTCCATGTGTTAGTGTACCAGTACTTCTTTAGCCATTCATTGTGTTGCTTCTCTGCGAGTGTGAATCCACCTTTGGACCCACAGGACCCAGCAGTCTACTGCTGTGTGATTTACAGCCTCTGGTGGCTCTGCTATGAATTGGTTCCAACTGCATGACAGTGACAGTGACTTTGAGTTTTATAACCCAGTAGTGCTCAAGTGGAGTGTTACTTGGTTTTCATGTACTTGATTTTTTTTTTCTTGATCATCTTGTTGATTTCTAATTCTATACTACATATGAGCAAGGGCCTGTGGTGATAAAGGGGGAAGTTCAAGTTGCTCTGAAGGAACTGGCAAAAAGCAAGGCTCCAGGAATTGACGGCATACCAATTGACATATTTCAACAAACATACGATGTCTTGGATGTGCTCACTAAGTTGTGCCAAGAAATCTAGAGGACAGCCAGCTGGCCAACTGACTGGAAAAGATCAATTATTTGTTCCCATTCTAAAGACAGGTGACCCAACAGAGTGCTTAAGTTATTGAACAATATGATTAATATCCCATGCAAGCAAGATTCTGTTGTAAATTATTGAAAAACGTTTGGAACAGTATATCAACAGAGAACTGCCAGATGTTCAGGCTGGATTTAGCAGAGATTGTGGTACTAAGGAAATTATAGCTAGTGTTAAATGGATCTTGGCAGAAAGCAGAGGATACCAAAGGAATGTCTGTCTGTGCTTCATTTAATATGAAAAGGCTTTTTTGACTGTGTGGATCATAACAAGCTATGGCTGACTCTGAGAAGATTGGGAATCCCAGAACATTTGACTGTGCTTATGCAAAACCTATATTTGGACCAAGAGGCAGTCGTCAGGACAGAGTAAGGAGACACTACATGGTTCAAAATCAAGAAGGTCTGTCAGGGATGTATTTTTTCTCCATACCTTTTCATTGTGTATGCAGAACAGATCATCTGAGACTCTGGGCTGTTCGAGGAAGAATGTGGCATCAGGATTGGTGGAAGAGTCATCATCAACCTGCGTTATACAGATAACACAACCTGCTTGCTGAAACTGAGGAGGACCTGAAGTACTTGCTTAAGAAAGTCAAGGACTGCAACCTTCAATACAGATTGAAGCTCAGCATCAAGAAAACAAAGATTCTTACCACTGGGCCAATTGGTAGCATCAGTATGTATGGTGAAGAGATTGAGATAGTTAACAGTTTTAGTTGATTTGATTCCACAGTCAACACTCTTGGTAACAGCAGCCAGGAAATCAGGAGACAAATTACATTGGGAAAGTCAGCTGTGAGGGACCTCTCTAGAGTACTGAAGAGCAATGATGTCAGGCTGGAGACTAAGGTGCACCTGATCCAGGCTATAATCTTCGCAATTGCGTGCTATCCATTAGAGAGTTGGACAGTGACTAGAGATGATAAAAAGAGAATTGATGCCTTTGAACGGTGGTGCTGGAGAAGAGTGTTGAATATTGTCCTGGAGAGGGTGAAGCTAGAGTGTTCCTTGGAGTCAAGGATTCTGAAGCTTCATCTGACATACTTTGGGCAAGTTGCAAGGAGGGCCTGGTCCTTGGAGAGGGACATCATGTTTGCCAGAGCACAGGAGAGGAAGACCTTTATTGAGATGGATCGATTCTGTGATTGGAGTGGTGGGAATGAGTGTTTGAGACAGCAAGGTTGGTACAGGATAGAGTGGCGTTTAGGGCTCTTGTACATAGGGTCACTATGAGTCACAAGCGACTCGATGGTACGTAACAACAATAGTATTGTGATCAGAGATTATGTTTTGTAATATTTCACTGTTTTTTTAAATTTATTGAAGCTTGCTTTGTGACCTAGTATATAGTTTGTTCCGAAGAATGTTTCATGTTAACTGGAGAAAAATGTATATTATACTTTTTTTTAGGTCATTTTCTTTTTTTAATCTATTAACTTTAGTGAACATTTACAGAGATTTTGGATTTCCATTCATTCATTGTTGCACTATTTTCTCTACTCCCCGCCCCAGTTTGTTCCTCTCTCTCTTATTTTTTCCTCCTTGAAAGTCTGTTTTAATTGTCCAATTGCCACAGTGCTTGTCAAAACCAGTTCTGATTAATCTCCTTTGTCAGTGTGTCCTTTGCCATTCCCTATCACTCTTCCTTGAGAGAGATTTCACCCTGATTCATAAGGAAAAGGGGACAGCATATTCTCTTAGCTACTTCCTGCTGAAAAGGGACGCTGTAGGTTTCAGGGTGAAGATCTTCTCTCACTACTCTAAAGGCCCCCTTTGGTAGTAGGAAACACATAGACTATTGTGGAGAATGGTTTTGGAATTTAGATGCACTGTTATTAGTTGTGCTTAGCCATACATGTTCATATCCTTGAAGATGCATCATTAAAGTGTTGCAGCGTAGAAGACACAGATTTAACTAACAAGTTAAAAGTACATGAGTCAGAAATTAAAAGCAATGATATTCCAAGTAGAAGTTCTAACAGTGGCACAAATCAAGTTACAGAGGGAAGGTAGTTCTTAAAATACAAGGCTTATTGACTAGCACTTTGTCTGTTACAGTATAAAGGTTAGGAACCCACAAGATGTAGAGGCTCAACTATGTCATTTAGTGTTCTTAAGTCCTGGAGCAAATTCTATCTACCACTGGGTTGTTTTACAGCTCGGAAGTCTGCATGCAAGGCAGAGGTGAAATAAGGAACTGTTTATGAGGTTTTCCGTCAATTCCAACAACTAAGAAATAGTGAGAGAGTTGGGACCTCAGAAGGCTTTTAGGACCAAATAATAGGCTCTTGTGTCCAGGAGAAAACTAATATACTTACCAGTAATGTTAATGCTCACCTACTGCTCTTCTGGGTGGATCTAAATTGTTGAAGCGTCCTCCTTTGTTTCCATTTGGGAGCTGGGACCTGTCAGTCCTGTCAGCCACAAGGACCTGATGTGGGCTGCCCTTGGCCATGTGTCCTTCAGAGCCACACTTAAAGCAAGTGAGTGGGAGCTTCCTCCCTACTCCCTTGCTTATCTGTGGCTCTCGTCTGTGACACTGTCTACTGACGTGGCCCAACTTTCCAGAGTGGAAGCCACTCTGACCCCGTTTAGTACCTTTGGATGGCACTGTTTATGAGTAAGACTTCCTTTTCCTGACACAGGCCCTAAAGTGGCAGCAATAGCTGCCCCTATAATTTTGGCTATTCTCTGGTCTTTGCTCTTCCCTCTAGATCTCAGTTGTTAAAAGAGAGAAAAATTTAAACAAATATATAACAAATAATTTTGAACTAATCTTTTAAGCTTAAGTCTAGAAATATTAATGATATGATCATTTCCAATCCAGAGATACATGTTCCGTTGCAGTTCCTATTTTCCCTAAATGGTTTTGATAAGAAGAATATTGTAAATGTGGAAACAGTTCTACTATTCCTCCTCTATGCCACGATATAGTGTTATTAGCATGAGCAGTTATAGATCCATTGCCTTCCTTACTCTAACTTAAATTTTTTTTACATTTATTATTAATTTCAGTAAAAATTTACAGAAACTTTGTATTTCCATTCATTCATTGTTGCACATTTCTCCCCTCCTAGCCCTCCCCCCCAGAATACTACCCTCTTGGAAAAGTAAAATTCTTTCATTGTTTTACAAACCCTCCCCCAGGTCTCCTCCACCATGTAGCCTTCGCTCTAGACTCCTGTGATAACAGAAA